GAACAATACAGAAAGTTGGTTAGGGGTCGTTCCAGTAGTACTTAAAGCACTTTTTTCAATTTTTGAACCCCCCCCCTTGTCCCCTTTGCAACGCACCCGTAACGCAGACCTACATCTACATACTCCCTTTTGAACTACGTAACGCTGACCTGACCTGACCTGACTCCCCCCCCCCTAATTTTCAAAAAATGAAGAAAGCTTTGAGTAGAGTCCCTTTATAGGGAGAGTTGAGACACCGCGGCTTATGGATGTCACAAACGGGAATAAAGATTACACAAATCGGATGTTTTTTGTAATCTTTGATCAACCCATTCCCAAATTCCTGTCTCCGTTCCCACTCACATTTCATCTATGTTCCTTGCCATACCTCCTATTTCCCGGTCCATTGGAGTTTCTAATCTTTGCAATCGGTGAAAATGTATAATCTTTATTCCTGTTTGTGACACTGTGAAGGCCTAAAATACGGAAACCAATCAGACATGGATTCAGATTGTCTCTACTCTCAGTATAAAGGGACTCTAGCGCTGAGATAACAGCTTAAAAAAAGGGTGGGATTTTCAATTTTTGCACGTTTTTTTCAAAGATTTTTCCTCCTCCAACTCGGATTTGCTACATTACCCTTAGGTTGATCCCCTCTCCCTCTTGTAACGCACCGTAACGCTGGCTCGATCCCCTCCCCCCTCAAAAGTGTGTTACCAGTGTTCGAAACTCACAGGCGCCAACGCGCCAATTTCGTCTTAGAAATCGGTCATGGCGCCTAAAAAATGGAGGCTCTGCGCCAACGTGGCCCCAAAAAATCACCCCCTCCTCCCCCCCCCCCCTCCTCCCCTCCCCCCCCCCAAAAAATCCTAATTTTCTGTTAGGTGATTTTTCGAGATTTCCCCCAAGGTTAAAGCTACAAGTTCTGCAACAAAAACATCTTGCGTCTAACTTTTCACTATATGCGCCGTGATGTATAGGCAAAAAGTGAATTTGACCCCAAAAAAATCTTCAATGGCCCCTAAAAATCGAGCTTGATGCGCCACACGGCTCCTGAAACTCAAGGGTGAGTTTGGAACACCGTGTGGTACGTAATACTTGAACGGCCCCTTACGTTGCAGTGAAATAAGAGCGATTTACAAAGTTTCAAAGAAACATGGCAACGTCACAACTTTCAACTGGCGGTTACGTCATTAGTTTGGCATAGCGCCGGTCCGCGAAAAAGCGTCGCCAAATCCTCCTCCAGCGACGGGCTCGTCTCGACTCATCACTCACTTGCGAATAAACGTCGATACAGCAACATTGGGCACAAGCCGCTTTCTCATAAATCAAAAAGGAAAAACACGTAGAAATATTTCCCACTTAAAAACACATTTATCTTGAAGATCTACCGAGAGGAAGCCCGCATGAATGGCATCAAGGGTTTGTCTATGTCTAGGCCAGACTTAACTTGCATATCTGCGTCTATGTGTCTATGTGTCTATGTTGTGGTCAAGGCGAAAATTAATTGTGCATTACCCAGTTCCAACTTGTGCCTCATTTATCATTCGAGTCTATTTGATACATATCGGGAGCACTGTACGCACACAGGTTGTCCCAAAAGTAATGCGAGCGATTCTTGTATTAGCGAATAAATATATCCTCTAGAGTCCCTTTATACCCAGAGCTACGACATCTCAATTCTGGTCGGGCTTGATTGGGCTGAAAGTGGCCTAAAAAAATCCAATTCTGATTGGGTCTTGCTCATAGAGTCACAAAAGAGTGCAACTAGATGGTGGTGGCTCGAATGTAAACAAAAATAATGGAAAAATAACTCAACTGTGATTTATCAAGAGTAAATTGTTATTTACATGGGCATCCGTGAAGAGATGGAGAGATGCCAGCGGGATGAGGAGGATCTCTGCCATGACAGATTCCTGTGGCGAGTAGGCGTCACAGAGCGCCCTAGCGCGCCGTGAAAGCGGCTTATACGTACACAAATTGTTATTTTCATCCTACCAAAATGAAAATAGATTACTAAATTATTCACAAATCAATCTCATTTTATTTTTTTGCAATTTTTTTGGTTAGGTTTAGATCAGTTTTGTTGATGTTTTTTTTTGGATGACACACATCGCAGGATCCCTTATCCTCATCCCTCAATATCGTTCGTTCAGGTGCACACTTTTGTGACACCATGGCCAGCCCATAAGCTAGTTGATAATCGAGGTGTCTTAACTCTGGGTATAAAGGGACTCTAATATCCTCCGTTAATTGCGACTATTGCGGCCTGTATATCCTCAAGGAGTAACTCGTCACCTTCAATACAAACTTTTGCGGCGCTTATTTTGTCAAAATTAGGGGACGTTCGGGTATTAACTACGGCATTATGGCCGACTTTTTTATCTCCCCCCCCACCCTGTAAAGCACTCGTTAGATAACCTCTCACCCCATGCTTCCCTCATTTTGAATTACGTAAAGAATGACTCCCTTCCCAATTTTTTAGAAGGTAACGGGGTAAGCTTGAAAAAAAAAAGCTGGACACTTTCTCTTTTATTGGGAAATAATTTTTCTTTCAAAAGAATGACCAAAGAAAACTTCTATACTTATAATAACGTTTTACAGATCATTTGTAAAAGAACAGTGAGCACGTTTGCCAATTTTCAGACTGTTTCTCGAGCGGTTATAACGTAACATTAATCAGGATTCAAAATAACATTTTAATTGGAAGTACTTCACAAGCGAGGCTAGCCAAATAATAACAAAAACAAGAGATTTCTCTATTCTTCATCTGGCAATTTACGTGATGCTTCCCCTTTCTCTCCAGTATACCACCCGCCGTACTTCTCTAATTTGTACACAGGCTCGTTTCTCTCTTGGCCCATTTTTAAGGAAAGGTCTCTCTCAATCTTTTTTCACAATCGTCTTGCAAAATGTTTGCTTTGCTACCTTCATCTCCTCACAGAAACCAAATCTCACACCTCTTTGACTTTCTCAGCGTTTTGAAAAGCCGAAAGTCACCGGATTCGACATGCGAACCTTATTCAAGCCCCCCCCCCTCCTTGAATATTATTAGGTAGAGAGAACGATGCTGTCCGTGATATGTTTTGGGCGGTATCCTGAAACGGAAGAGGCATCTGAATAAGTTTGAACATACATGATGAGGAGCTTTATTCTTACTATTTGTTCAAACTCAACATTAGACTGTGAAATCTTGGATTCAAAAATTTAATTTTGAAGCAATCAGTTCTTTCCCTCGAAGAATTGTCAGCAAATCTACGAGGGCACTCGGAAAAAATTGTCATGAAATATTATTTTGACTAAAAGCGTCGTTTCTTGCCGACAAAATTTGTTTGTTTGTTTTTTTTTAAATTAAAATTTGTGCGAATTTATCTTACAGTCAGTTTTTATAGTTAAAGATAGGTATGTTGTTTTGCTATCTTTTTTTTTTAACTTAACCTTAACAATAACAAAACGACGCTGTTTTAACTAAAAACAGGCTGACATCTCCGGCCCTCGGGTGCCGGATAAGGAAGCGATTCAATGTTCCCTCGAATAGTTTATCAATTAAATGTAATCGACCGGAGGCGAGTTGAAATATGGCAACGCCGTGAGAGCAAAAATTAATACGTCCTAAATCAGCCGAGTTCTTTTTCGATTTTTCATAACCTCCCAATCAATTATTCGACGTATAAAACTTTGAACGCGTATACAAACTGTTTCTTCATTAGTAATTACCCAAAAGTTAAATGAGATGCGCTTGAAATGAGCCCGAATTTTGGAAAATTGCTCATACTGCTCTTTTGTACAGAAGTATACCATTTGAAGTATGCCATAGATTGCGATATTTTTGCCTCGAATAAACGGGTGAACCATAGATCTTTAGAGTAGGGAATTGATCGGAAGAAGCGACCATGCTTACGCATTAAATCGCTTAAAAACTGACGACTCAAAAAACCCAATTTTTATCGACAAGAAACGACGCTTTAAGTCAAAAAAATATCTGAAGAACATTTTTTTAGTGTACCACTTAACAAACAATCATTTAAGACGCGTAACTCACCAGATCTTCGATCGAAGAAACCATACGATGGTTTTTATTTAATAGCTAACGCGTCCCTATGCCAGTCTGCGCAGGTTGCATTTTGTAAGTTCGACTCGTTCGTTTGTGCAGGAACCAGTCACGTTACTTTTGGGACAACCTATGCACTTATCGCCGCGTCCAGCTTCCTCCGTAACGATTCCTCGCGAAAGTACCTTAACTCCTCACTCTTTCCTCCAAATATACGATTGATTTTATAAAAGCCCGGTCTAAGTTTGGCCAAGATTCAATGCTCAGAATAGCAAGCTAGACGAAATGAGGAGTGATTGTCCGTGATAAAAACAGCTCGTAAATATCTCATAGTCGTTTGTTTTTAGAGAGCATGATTTTATTTTTGGAGATTAGTCCAGTAAATCTAGCCAGAAAAAGGACCAAACTTCGAACAAATTCGCACATATTTCTTTATTTCTTTAAAGTTTTACGATACTTCAACGTCTGAAGTCTCCAAGCACACATCTCGCAACCGGAAACCTCTTAAAATTGCATGTAGTAAATTTCCATGGAATAATTTGCCGATCTTGTCAGCGTTTTTTTTCCGAATTTTATACCAGTTTAAAGTGTTTAGGAGAAAAAAACCTGCTCAGATGAATTTCAAGTGTCTAAACTTCCGTTTCTAAATATGTGTTTATCACTTGTCATCTCTAATTGCCGAGTTATGAAGATAGAAGTTAAAAAAATTGGTGATTGTCTCTTAAAATTAAAGTTTGATTCCCATAATTATTTTTCCATAAAAACAGTTTTGACCAATGAAAAACGCATACAATTTTCTTTTCATAACTTATTTAATCACAGTTCGTATAAAAGGAACCTTTTTGGAGTCCTTTGATAAAACAAAAGCAATTAATTAAAACTCGAAAAGAATATGGTATCGATAGTTCAGCCCTACATTTATTTAAATATGTTCTTGCAGACAACTTGGAACTTTGATTTTTTTTTTCAGAATCGTTACGAGAATATTTCAGTAAATTTGGAGAAATTTCGGAAGTAATGGTGATGAAGGACCCAGCGACAAGGCGATCAAGGTAACTGTCAATTCAAACACTATTTATCCCTAAAAATTCCTACGGTATAAGACGATATAGATCGTATTCGATTTTGGTTCGATGTATTATTTGGCTCAAAACAATAGAACATAACCTCAAACAAAAATTTTAGGTTTTAAGTTGGAAAATCTGAAAATCAGAAAATTTCTAATAATTTCAGTTCTCATTGCCAGTTTGTGTTCATAAGAATTAAAAATACGTCACGAACACCCGTTCTCTCAGATTACTCAAAGGAGAATTTGCACGCAAATGTTTTATTCCTTCATCTAAAAGTGCTTAAAAAACTGAATTCGCAGTATTTTTTATAATTTTTTCCTGATATCGGAATAGTATTAAAATAGATTCAGAAGTGAGAAAATGCACCGCCTAGTGACGTCATGTGACGGCATTTCCCATATTAACACACGTTTTTTAGCAGATCAGTCATTTTGTCATATCTTCTCTAACAATTGTCCAATTTATGAACCACAGGCATCCTTGCAATCAGTTCACTCGATAGTATCCACAGACACGAAATTCATCGAATTTCAGACACCTGCAAATTCTCCATTGACATTTAAGGCTTTTTAAATGTTCAACCAATAGGAGCGATCCTATTGGTTGACATGGTTGGTTCTTATAGACTAAGGAAGAAAATGATGGACTAACTGTCGGGTCTTTAGTGGGTTGCCGTTAGTTAGTCCATTACCTACCTCCTATGTCCATTGCCACCACCTATTTCCACCAATAGGATCCCTCCATATCCCTTTTGTCGTCTTTGTCTATAGCTTTGTCCATAAGTTTCAATAATCGGCCCGCTGTTTGATGTATCGAATACGATCCATTTCAAAAAGGGGACAGATCACTTTTAAAGTGGTGGTATCAGTGGCATCGCCTCTGGGCCGCGTTGTAAATAATTAATTCGTAATGCCCTTACGTCAAAGATAATGTGGCTCTTAACCTGGCGGGTTGTGTCCTTGGTTCCTCCCTCGAGTGGGGATGTTTAATTGGTATCGGGTAAGCTATGAGTAAGGCTGCGATAAAGAGTAGTGACGGAAAGACGGGTCATAGCGGTAGCTTGATCGTGGTGGGAGCTTAACGAAGCCTAAAGAAGCTTCCAGGGAATTAACTGTATCGGCGGTAACGGAACGGCCGATATCGGACGGAGAGAGCGAGAGGGTTCTAAGCGGCCGTCCAGCGCCAATGAGTAGGGTAAAAATGGGAATTTGGAGCCAGAAGTTGTCAAATCGTGTCAAATAATGTGAATTAAAATGTGCCGAGGGCGGGCAGTTTCGAAACGTCGTGCTCGAAAAGAGATTTGCAATCAATACGGTCAAGATATATTCTCTAAATTCGATGAATACGAATGGGTCAGTTGCGCCGGTTACGAAATCGTGTTTTGATGCTTGATCCTTAATAGATCAGCTGAAAATTGGTCAGTTGCGCTGGTAACAGAATCGTGTTTTGATGCTTGATTCTTGTAGATCAGCCAAAATAAGAAGATCTGTCTAAACAGCAAGTTTCTACGTTGAATATTAACCGAGATATCGTCCTTTGAAAAGTCGGGTTTTTGACGTCATCCACCGCGGTGGTGCATACCACCACCGCGGTGGATGACGTTATAAATCGTGTTTTCCAAGGCGCGCGTATCTCGGTTAATATTCAACGTAGAAACTTGCTGTTTAGACAGATCTTATTTTTTTAAGTTGATCTGCAAGAATTAAGCTTCAAAACATGATTCCATGACCAGCAAAACTGACCCGGTATAAAATCTGTCCAAACAGCAACTTTGCGCTTTGAAACATTCTCTTTATGACATCATCCACCGCGGTAATGACACCTATGGTTTCTTCCACCTTGTTTTCATCAATCAGTGAGACACACATTTACGCTGGTTCCTCAATGTGAAACTTGGATGAAAACAAGGTGGAAGAAACCAAGCGGTTTGCCACTATAGCGGTGGATGACGTCGGACACCAAATTTGTCAGAGCGCGATATTTCGGTAAATATTAAACGTAGAAAGTTGCCATTCGGACGGATCTAATTATTTTTAGCTAATTTACTAGAATCAAACATTAAAACACGATTCTTTGACCAGCGCAACTGACCCATTAAGAAGTTGACCCCTGAACGGGAATCACCCATAAGTGCATCGCTCACACGGGCCCGGACTGGTCTAATGGGCCTACCGCGACTTTTCCCGCGGTGAACCGGTTTATTACAGGGCCAATCCGATTTGTATACAAAAAAAAAATTCAGCTCTGAATAGTGAACACGTTTAACAATTTCGGGGAGGGCCCTGTATGCGAAAGGGGCTCAATCGTCAGAGCTTTACCCATCAAATTTTGAGACCTCAAGTGTTTCTTATATTTTTCTCTCTTCCCTCCTCCTTTCTCCTCAAATTCCTCCATCTCCAACGTCATCCCCAGATCGAGAGGCCCCATGAGAAGAAATAAGAACCGTTGCAGTGATGAAACTCCTGAGCCAACCGAAGCTGAAAGTACAGTCTTACATCCGGGTGGTTAAAGTTGTACACCGATGTCTTCTCCAAATGTTTGGTCATTTCTTGGGAAGGGGTAGGGGCGTGAGTTTAGAAGTAGACAGGCAATCTCAGGCTTCAAGATCTTGTTTAATTTACAGGCTTTGAAAGCACAATCTACAAGGGCGCAAATTAGGAGCGACTATCGTCCAATTTCGTGTAAAGGGTCGATTTCTTTTTCGAGGGGAGCCCCGGGCCCCCCTTTGCACTCCGCGAAGGCCGCTTTTCAGGTGAAGTCTCGGGCAGTTTTTTGGCAGTCCGGCACTGTTTCGCAGTTTAGTAAGTTTAGGCCCTGTTAATGTGGCTTTTGGTTCAATAGACTATACATGGGGATCGTCATAATAATTACACTTAGAGTCAGCCCAATCTACGTAGGAGACCACTAACACAGGAGGGGGGAGGGGACCACTGGGGCAGCCTAGTTCAGAGTATGTTTTCAGGGGTTCAGCTCTGGTATTTTGAGTCGAGTCTCGTGGTGATTCGTGCCTTCAATGCATTACTACGAAACTACTGTTATTTGATAAGGCATCGTAAATAAAGCGGAAAAAAGACACAAAAAACGATGCAAGTGCACAGCCACACATTCCAGGGTTTATTCGGTATGAAGTAGAGTTTTTGTGAACCTGAATGGCGATATCAGGTGAGTCAGCGGCTGGTCTCGCCCGACGGAGCGGATGAAATAAAAAAATTGTGAAAAGAAACACAGTTTTCATTTGTTGTCTGCGTTGTCTGAGCATCAGGACGCATTCAATTCAATGGGATTCAATTTATTTCAATTTCAGTCTCTTCCATTCCGCTGCCTGCTGAGTCGACCCGCTCCGCATCGCGCTGTGGAGGTCGCATCAGAAATGCCGGGCGTTTTTGAACGGAGACGCGAAGCGCCGCGGATGTGAAGGGATTTCCGCCAGACTTCTCCATTCCCCCGCGTTATTAATTATTTAACTTGAATGGTCCGTCCGCCTGCTCTGTTCCTCCACTCATACTCACCTTGGCACCCTCGCCACCGCACCCGCCCCGTGCCGCGCCGCCCCGCCGTGGCATCGTCTGAAAACCCATTTTCGGCCTTCCGCCAGTAAAACGTGACCATCTCATCAAATTTTGCTGCTGGCTGCGTACAAACTCTTGTACTCTCCCCGTTTTAACGTTTACTTTCACGTGGACGCCTAGCTGTGAGCAATAGAATGCCATCTACGCCCAGAATTTTTCATAAATGTAGCGCCGCAGGGCAAAATGTGTCTCAAAGTGGAAACTCAAAGTTTTCAGTGCAGCAAGAAAACCGGTTCGAACAGTAACAACATTAAGACCGCGTTAAGCAGAAAGGAACCACATCAGCAATTGCCGAATTTAATTGGGCATTTTAATTTTTAACATGTAGAGGATTTTTGTGCAAATTTCAGTGAGTTTCCTGCAAAGCACGAAGCAAATTCCTTAAAATTGTCCAAGGAATCCATACATACACGTTCTCTTGTAAAAAATGAATTTACCCACTTAAATTTAGCACTAGCTGATGTGGCGTGGTTCCTCTCTGCTAAACGCGGTCCATTTCACCAAAACCCTGGGGTGAAGGGGGTGGCGGCAAGTTACTTGCCATGACCCCTAACGTGATACCTAAGTAAAGGAAAAGATCAAGTTTTCAGCAATTCGATCAATTTTTCTCGTTTATCTAGGCTTTTTGAAACGCGGGGGTGGGGGAGGAAAGGCCAATAGCTTTCCTCCGCCCCCGCAAAAGGGTCCGAAGTTAGAAATATAGATTTTTAGCTAATCGGTGTTAATCACTTTCTAAACCCTTCAAAAACATAGTCGAAGTTTTTATTAATTACGTTCTCAGCTCACAGAGGAAAAACCCAATTTAAAAGTTTCGTTAGCACGGGAAGTAAAACATAACACAACCCGAGCCTCCCATGGACTCGGGGTTTCCGAGTCGCTCCATTGTTTTCCGCCCAAATTCACCGCAAACTGCCCAACATTTGGGCTGGTTTGTGTTTTACTTCCCTTATCAACTAAAAGTTACACAAGAATACGAATATTTTTATCGGTGCGTTTAAAATGAACTGTCCCCCCCCCCCCAAAAAAAAGGAGTGGTTGCACTGACATTACATAGAGGGAAAAAGAAAGGTGTCTGCATCTTGAGGATTATATACCCTCTGACGTAGGTTGCTACAACCTGGTCAGGAAAATCTGGAATTCGAAGTATGAAAAACGGACCATAACGTCCGATTTTTTGCTTAAATCAACTCATGCTACAATTTCAAACACTTTACATAGCATGACTTTTTTCCATAGACTACACCATTTCCAAGAAAATCGGTGATAAAACTTGTCCGTACCGACCTTCGTCATCAAAAAAATCCAAGATGCCCGAGATGCAATCACCTCTTTTTTATCTCTATGCCGACAACAAACTTTAGGAGCTAGTCTCCCGAGCACCACGCTTATGAATCTCGAATTTTGAGTCTCCGT